TATGGTCTACAGTTTCATCAATTGTATTAGATAATACAGGCCAAATACTTAGGTTATTGTTTTTGATTATTTATATTGATATATTTTTTAAAGTACCAGTTCTGTGCTTCTCACCACAAAATCTAAATAGATCAGCAGTTCATAAGCAATTACCAGATTGCAGTATGAAGCAACCAGCTAAGCCAAAGATCTCCAGTATTTTTAGAACTTAGGAGCTACTCGAGATAGGGGAGCATCCAGTGGGGACAAATGAGATAGAAGCAAAGGAGGAGACACAGTCACCAGGGCAAGATTTCCTTGACAGTGAACCACAAGGAAAGAGGAGGGGCCATCCTGACAGCTACAGTCATTTTAACCTCAGTGGCTTTGATAATAACTCCCTTCCCATTGGAACTGGAAATACCCAGGATATACATAGCACTTGGAGACAACAGTCAATTTCTAACTGCTGGCTGTTTGAAATTTTAGCTCACAGGCCTTGCTGGTGTTCCAAATGCCTGCACGTCACGAGGAGGGTTTCATGTCAGAGACCACAGCCCCAGCAGTGACCACATGGAAGCATATGATAAATCTTCACAAGACATTATTTGACTCTCTGGGACTAGATTTCTTCTAGTTGGAGATAATGATGGAAAAGGGAGGTTACAAATTAACCTTAGTCAATTTATTATTATTAGCTTCTTGGGGTAGTAGCTTCCAATAGTTAAGAGACAGGTTAGGCTATATAGGGCAACAATCTTGCTCCAGATGGTATGTTACAATGAACGATAGCCTCAGCTCAAGTTCAACAAGTACTTATTAGTAAGCAGTGATGCAACCTGTCCCATAAGCTCCACGAAGTCCCAGATCTCTCTCCAAAAAGCACCTCACCTGTTCACTGAAGGCAAATGCACCAGGATGCCAGCACAGGATCTAGCTAACCTGGTTAATCAAGTGGAGTCAGTTCCAGCTGTGTAGCTCATGCCTCAGTTTCCTCATCTATAAAACTAGAGTAATAATAGTTCCTCTCTCAAAGATCGTTAATAAAAATTAAAAGAGCTCATGCATAGTACCTGATCCATATGGTAAGCCCTATTCCTCTGGCACTCGAGATGCTAAGCTGTGTCAGAAATATCCTCTAGGGGGAGGGTATGGCACAGTGGCAGCGTGCATGCTTAGCACCCCAGAACCTCCATTAAGACAAATAAACTTAGTTACCTCCCCCATTAAAAAAAAAAGACAAAGCTAAATAGCTTTAATTTTTTTAATTTTAACAAAGAGAACATCCTCAAGAAACTGATAATACTTCTATAGAAACAAAACAAATATGTGAAAAAGTTATATACTAATGAAAGATGGAAAGAATTATTTAAATTCCACCCACCTCCCAAAAAAGGATCTTTGAAACTTCAAGTACCCATACAATTGTACAAAAAACAATTGCGTGGGTTTATGAAATGTTACAACTGCCTTCTTGTTCTCTGGAAAAGTTTTAACTCCCAGTCCCTAAAGACCCTCTTCTTCATAGTCAAAGAAAAGCTCATCTGACCTTGGAGTCTTATTTTCCCAATCAAGAAGAAATTTCTCAAAATTGGCTTGAATTTAAATTTATCATTTAACTTGTAATCCCAAAAAGTTCTCTAATTTTAATTTATATTTACAAAAGCTAATTCACATTGTCTTCTTTCTGACTGCATATTAACCACAGAACAAATAGGGATCTGCTAGGCAGCCCCAAGAAAAGTCTGGGTAGATAACTTTAAAAAAATTGTCTAGAAAGCTCAAAATTCTCCTATTTTCTGGAGAATCAGGAGATTAAGGGTTTAGAAAATGGGGAGCTCACAGCAGAGAGAAGACCAAAGATTAACTCCTGAAGATAAGCAGTAACTCTGTTCTCTTTAGAGCCCCCAGTAAACTGAGAATGAAGGAATAATAATTTTTTTAAACTACAAACCCCTCAAAGACAAATATAGGAGAAGAGAGATGAAAAATACCAGAATTTTGGAAGATGGAAAGCAAATAGATGAGTGGGTAACTTACTTAGAGGACAGAAGCTGAAACCTGACTTCCCGCAGAGAAGAAGGCCAATGGGAAGGCAAGTCAGTTTTGTCCTGAAGAAGCCCTAAAAGGTCAGAGACCACAGGAACAAGGTACCTATGAAGGGGAGCCTCAAGAGGAATGTGAGGTATCAATTCACTGATACAAACCAAGGTCTTTAAGGTCAAAGCAGGTCAAAAGGAGATCAATGCAGAAGTAGGATAGGACACCTAGGAGTTAGGATAGACAAGGGTCCAAGAGCCCAGGAAGTCAGTCTGAACACATCAGCAGTACCCATGGTCAAAGTACAGAGAAGAGCCTGACCCTAGAAAGGCATTTGCTTGCTCAAAGAGTTTTTAAAGACAGATAAACTCCTTTAAAGTTAAATTCGTTGTACAAGAAGCCAAATCTTTTAGACTTTTAATAAGGCACCCTGTTAATGAATGCCTTATATTCATTTATTTAAAGTAGAAGCTCAGTTAATTAATTTCCACTTAATCCAACTTGCCTGCCTTAACAACAGTTTTCATTCCCTCTGTAAAATAAATTAACTGATGCCCACACACTTCTGTTCCACTGATGCCCATAAGCTGCATTATATATTTACCAAGAGTCAATTGGGTTTGCTCTTAAACTTCTTTATGCCAGTTGTACTTGTAATTACATAATTTAATTATTATATAAATCAGTAAAAATTGAGTGCTAAAGGAAAGAGTAGCTGTTTCCATGGAAACTAAATTGAGACTAGTGGTCATATATGGCAGATTGAACACTTGCATTTACTTCCTGCTTCCCAAAACCTCACTAAAATGAAAGTAAAGAGACAAAAGGCATTAAACCCACAGGGCAAAGAATAAGAGATGTGATACACTAGACTTGAGTTATTGACAAACTTTGGGAATAGACTAATTAATAATTAATTTTGTTTCAACTTTTTCCACTCTGCAAGCACCTGCAGGGGAGAAAACCTCAAAAACCAAGCTGAGTCCTACCACAGAATAAGGCAAAAACAGAGCAATTAGACCACCCCTTCCCCTACCCCCACCTCCTCCTCTAGC